ATCTTTATTAACCCATTTTCTTTTTATCTAAAACACAAAAAATATAGTTTTTTTCAAAAATCAAAGTGTACTTACATATTAACTTAAATGTATCGTCAATACTACACCTAATTCTCACCACAACAATTATATTAAATTTGAGAATTTTAATATACATCTTTTTAACAATAAAAAAAACAATTGGTGGAAACAAATAATAAAAGCAAGGAAAATAAAAACAATAAATAAAAATTAAAAATTAAAGTAATAATAATAAAGTAATAATAATCAATATTTTTTTAAAGTACATCGAAAATTAAAGTTTTTATACTATAAACTAATAATAAAAGAGTCTTTTTTTATTTTTTTTAAGATATAATGCTTGTATTGAAATTGGCAATTACCCTTTAAAGAATAATTTATGGGTGAATGTTTTTATTCTATTTCACTATTCATCATACTATTTATATATAAATATAATCTATTTAAAAATTACAAGAATTTTTTTGTTTTTTATATTAATTATATAAATAAATAAATACTACTTTATAAATCTTTCTTTTTTTATAACAATGTAGATAGATACACATATTAGAAAATATAAATATATTATTATTTTATTATAAATAAACAATCAGTTTTATTATTTATATGATAATGAATCGTAAAATTACGATAAATAATAAAAAGACATATATAATAAAAAAAAAGAAAAAGAAAATAAAAAAACAATTATTGTTATCATTGAACTTATAAACGATAAATAAATATATTATAATTTTTTAAAATTTTCTTAAATCACCAGAGTTCTATATTAATTTAATAAACAGATAGAGATACTAAATTTTTAAATGTTTTTAAATTTACAATTATGTAAATTAAATTCTTTTTTTATGTGACAGATAATTTATGTTACTATTCTTTTAATTTTTATAAGACGTAAAACATTTATAATTTTTATTTTATTTATAATAAAATTTAAAAGAAAAAATAATAAAATAAAAAAATAAAAAAAAAATTTTTTTAACTTTTATAAAACATAGTTTTTACTATATATAAACAATGAAACTGTAATAAGTATAATCACAATCCCACTTTATTTAAAAAAGTATTATATTTTTAAATTTTTTTATTTTTTTATGGAACTTTTTAAATAGTTTCATATTCTGCAGGACTGTATTTAACAGAATTGGTGTATTGATTATTATTAAACCTGGCTTTTTCGTAATGGGTGAGCTTTTTCTTTTTTGATGACCTTAGGAAAAAGAGTAATGCACATGTTGGAACAATTTCTAAAGTAACAAAATATATTAAAACTAAATACCAATCCACATCAAATGATTTTGTATCGCTATAGTTCTAAAATATTAATGATTAAAAAAGAGTTAATACTAAAATACCATTATAATTATAAAAATTTATTTTTGTTTTATTTACCCAAACTGAAATTGCACTATACAACATCAAAAAAGTTCTTGCTAAAAAACAAAATGAGCAAATCCATGTAATAATCTTAATCTTGAATGTACTTTTTCTTTCGAGTACTTGGTTATTTCCCTCTATTAATTTGTATATTTTAATTCCATATATCCCAAACAAAATTGAAGTTAATAAATTTAATGTTGCTATATAAAAACTGGTTCCAATATCCACTTTTTTAACCTTTAAATAAAAAAATAGAAAATTAATAAAAAAATTATATTCATTATCTATAAGATTTGAAATAGTTTAAATATTTATGAATAAAAATAAAGTGTTTAATAATTAAACATTTACCTCGCACTCTTTATTTGATATAAAAAACAAAGCTGATATTAATGATACTGAAGAAAATGCAAAAATACTAATTATTATAAAAATACCATTTCCTTTTGTAAAGTGTTTACCTCCTACCTTTGCTGTATAATAAAACTCCAACCAACTTATAAACAACATTAAGTAGGCCAAAAAAAAACTAAAATCCACCATATGATCTAAATAAAAATATTAAAAATATTAAAAATATTAAAAAAATTATAAAATACTCGTTACTATTATTATATTTTAAATCTTTTCCTATCCACTATCTTTCTTATTGTGGGTGAGTGTGTAATTGTTTTTTTAAAAGTAGTTATTAGATGAAGTTTCTACTTACTCCAAAATAAATATGCATTTAATGGCATGTCGATTCTATTATCTAATATTAAGGGCGTGGTTATAAAATACACTCCTCTTGAAAACATTGATATAATTATCGCAGTTATAAAAAATATTTTTCTTATTTTAATCTTATCTGATAAAAATCTTATTAACTGTATGCAAGATACCAAACCAATAAAACACATAACTGATCCCGTTGCCCAATATAGTTGAGGATACATTATTATTGTGAAATTAAAATTATTAAAAAAAAAAAAAAAAATTTTAAAAAACAAATAATTTAAAAATAAATAATTATTATCTATTAATATATATTGTTAATAATTTTAATAGTATTTATTTATTTTATTTATTTTATTTATTTTATATATTTTATTTTTATTTTTAATTTGATTTTTGTCATTATAAAAGTGAAATGAAAAAAAAAAAAAATTTTAACAAATATATTTTTATATTATTAGTTAGTTAACAATTTAGAAAACAATTAAAAATAAATGTTAAAAACACAAACACCCAAGAAAAAAACACAAACACACAAACACACACAAAAAAAAAAAAAAAAACTGAAAGAAACAAATCGATGCAATATTTGCAATCAATTTTTTTATTTTTATATTTTATAAATATATAAAAACTATATATTTTTACGTATGGGTGGTTTTTATTTTAATATTATATCATTAATTATATTAATTATACTAATTCGTATATTAATATAAATAAATAATTGTTTTTTTTTTTGTTTTTTTTTTGTTGTGGTTATAATTTTTCTTTAAAAGAAAAAAATTTGTTTTTTTAAAAATTTTGATTATAATTGTTATGATTATTACTATTATTATTATTATTATTATGATTATTATTATTATTATTATTATTATTATTATTATTATTATTATTATTATTATTATTATTATTTATTAATTTGAAGTTGGTGCAACAACATTATTTTCTTTGACTTCTGATCTTTTATAAATATATTCTGGTTTGACACCATCACTTGATTCTGGGTTTGGTATAAAGAAAGCTGGTTTATGAACAAAATTTGGATCTTTTGCTAAATTAGCTTTAGCTTTTTTTCTTTGAGCCTCCTCTATTCTTTGTTTTTCAACACCAGCTTTTCTTGAATCTTTTTTAGCAAAACCATCAGCAACACCTTTCCAAACTTTTTGTGAAGTATTGTCTTTTAATTGTTCAAATGGTTCCTCGATGGTTGGTTCAGTACGTAAAATAGTATAATTCATAAAGACTTCGGAAGTTTTATTCTTGAGATTTGTGATAGTTAAGACATCGACATGAGTACCATGAATATCGTAGAGATTTTCGTTATTTTTGCTAACGATAACTTGAATATCGTGCCATTTACCACCAATAATTGGTTTATCTTTAAAGTTAATTGTAGCGGTATAACCAGTTTCTGGACATGAGAAAGTGTATTTACCAGAGAATTCAAATTTCCATCTTAACAAACGAAGATAACCTTCTGGGAATTTGTCGTTAACATAAGTTTCTTTAGCTTTTGTGTGTTTATTTTCGAGTGTGATGCATGTTTTAACGTCCATGTTAACACGAATGCATTTACCTTTGAAGACTGGAGTAATTTGTTCTTTAGCATCGTATTTGAAACCATGTTTATCATTCCAAAAGTGGAAACATGAAATTGGTGGATGATGTGAAACTTGTTCTGCAAAGAAATTAGTTGTGTCACCTTCAATAACTTGGCTGGTCTTTTCATCGATATGATTAACTGAACATTCATAAATTTCACCTAAAATTGGATTTAATGGATTCTTTGGGAAATACATTTTAGGCCAAGTTAAATGATATTTTAATACTTGTAAGAATCTTTGTTCATCATCTTTAATATATGGAGCACTAATTAAAAATAAATAAATAAAATCAATATATTGTTATTATTTTTGAATAATTTATTATCTATCATCTATAATTATAAAACCTACCTTGTTAATAAATGAGAGAAAATAGCTGATTGAGTTTGAATAGCAGTTAAAAAACTAATTGGGGTTGTAAAAGTGGCTGGGATTGGTAATTTGGTCATATCAGCACCAACTTTAAGGTGGTTTTTAACAAAAGAAAAGGCTTGTTTCATAATACCTGCTTCTGATGTAGCTTCTTCAACAGTATCATCTGCACCATTAACTTGATGATTTTCTGTATTATCAACACCCTCGGCTTCGATACCATCACTTGAAAGATCGCTTACGCTATCTTCAGTTAATGATGGTTCTCTAATAACATCTACTTTAGTTGACATTTTTTATTATTTATAAAATTATTATTTGAAAAAAAAACTATATAAATGTTTGATTTGTGTTTGTTGTTATTTTAAACTATAATACAATTGATTTTTTTTTTGATTTGTTTTTGTTTGTTATTATAAAAAAAAAAAGGTAAAAATTGTTTTTTTTTTTATAAAATCTAACTCTTGAATTAATTAAATTATTATTATATTCTACTAATATTTATTAATTAAATTTGATAAATGATTGATTTGATTTGATTTGATTGATTATTGATTATTATTTTATATATGTATAAAATAAAGAGGAAAATAAATAATATAAATTGAAAAAAAAAAAATTAAAAAATTTATATTAGTATAATATAATGTATGTGTTTATGAATATTAAATAAATAAATAAATAAATAAATAATTAAATGAATAACAAAAAATAATATAATATATCTTTTTTTTTTTTTTTTTTTAATATTTTGTAAAAATAAAAATAAAAATTAAATAAAAAAAAAAAAACAATAACACAGTTCTATATTGGTGTAATATTGGGTAAAAAAGTTAAAAGATTTAAATAAACTCTTTATCAATAATTAATATTGTTAAAAATATAAATAATAAATAATATTCTTATTATTCTATGTTATTGTTAATATTTATATTTTGTTATTATGATACAAACACACAAACCGAATGAAAAAAAAAAAATGAAAAAAAGAGATAAATATATACAATACAAACTTTAAAGAAAAAAAGAAATAAAAGCGATATAAAAAATTTTATATAAATTAATTATTTATTTGTGTGCAATTGTGAATATTTAAAAAAAAAATAAAAAAAAATGAAAATTATAATTAAAATTATTAAAGAATTAAATAATTTTATTGTGCCAGTGTGTGAAAGTGTGGTTTATTTTAAAATTAACAAATATCGTTTTGATAATTAGAGTAATATATATACTGTACTATATTATTATTAAATTTTGTTTCTTTTTGTATAATGTTATTATTATTGTGTTTATATTATATGATATTTAATTGAATAATAGATATAAAGGATTAGGAATTTTAAACAAAGAAAAAAAAGGTTTTTTTTTTTTAAAAAAAAAAAAAAAAAAAAAAAAAAAAAAAAAAAAAAAAAAAAAAAATATTTTAAAAAAATAAAATAAATTTATTGTATTATTATTTTAATTTAGAATTATAATTTGTTTATTTGAATTAAATAAGTGAGCAAAAACCCCACCACACAAACATTTTCAACCCTCTTCCCCCCACATTATTTTTTTTTTTTAAAATAGATTATTATAATGAAAATTATTGATATGAAATGGATATGTTGAAATACCACACATATTAAAAATACATTCATTATAAAAAAAAACAAACTAATAAAAGGACACACTTATTTATATTAACTTTTAATATAACGAAAGAAATTGTGTGATATTTTTATTTTGTTTGTGTGTGTGTTTATGCGTGTGTGTATATGTGTGTGTGATTTTAGTGGGGTATAAAAATAGTGTTTCAAATTCAATGTAAATAAAATAATTATTTTAAAATTTTAATTTTTTTTTGTGTGTGGTACGAAGATAATCTGCCACCAAACATTTAATTTATATAATAGATTATTGTTAGAGTGGATTGAAATTATCATGATATCATTTGAATTGACAATATTTTAGGGTTGAAGTGGTGTATATATTATAAATTATAATATGTGTGTGGGTAGTATGGATGAAATTAATATGAAAAATTGACATGGTTAAAAACAAACTGGGGTTGTTGCTTATTATTATTACTTTTTAATTTTATTATTTAAATTAATTATTTTAATCATTAACTTTATTATAACTTTTGTTTATAAATAAAATGAAAATATAATAATTTATTTATTTTTACCTTTTTTTTAATGTAAAGTGTAGATGGTGTGTGTGATATGATTTTATTTTATTTATTGATTTTATTACAATATTATTTTTATTTACACAATTATTTTAAATTCTATTTTAATTTAATTCTATTTTAAATAAAATGAACTATTTATTATTTTGATTCTTTGTTTTTTTTTTTTTTTTTTAGTTTTATTTTTTATAATTAATTTTTATTTTATTTTTTTTGTTATTTTTTTTTGAATTGATTTTAAGAATAAAAGCTATTATTATAATTATAATAAATAGTAAAGTAGATTTTGCTTTTTCATATAAAATATTAAAAATAAAAAAAATGAAAAAAAAAAAAAATAAAAAAAAAATAAAAAAAAACACACACAATTGATGCTGATTATCTTTTTTGAAAAAAAAATGAAAAAAAAATAAAATTTTTTTGTTTTGAGAGGGTTATATTTTTAAATGAAAAAGACCAATGAGGCTGTGCATTTATGTGATGGATTGTTTTTAAAATAAAAATATAAAGAACAACCTTATTTCTCTGGTGTGAGTTCTTTATAGGCTATAGGGGCACTTACAATTGTATGATCTCTTTTTTTCTGAATAATATTTTTTTTTGTTTTATTATTTATTTTCTTATTTTGTATTGATACTGATTTTGAAAGGAAAAATTTTTTTGTTATTTGTTATTGTTACAATAAATAAAAAAAATAAATAATATTGTTTATTAACCCCCAACTTGTACAATTATTATTATAAAAAATAGAAAAAAAGTTTATATAAAAAAAAAATAAAATAAAAAAATAAAATTAAAAAAAAAATTAAAAAAAAAAAAAAAACTAATTTTTTTTTATGTGCGAGGATAAAAAGTTTAAAATTTTTTTTATTTATTTTAATTTTTTTTATTTTTATTTTTATTTTTATTTATAGTTATAGTTTTTGCCCAAGCCAAAAAATCTTATTTTATTTAAAAACGTTAAAGCCACTCACACCTGATATTTTTTCTTTTTTTTAAAATT